ATACCTAAAAATTATGTAATGAAAACAAACAAATATTATTTATTTATTTGATACAACCGCTCATTCGGCAAGCAGACTCATAGAAACTCAAGAAACTTGCGTGTTGCTCTTTTAAACCAATGTTTATCATTACATATTTACGATTTTGTGTGTTCAATCAACATGGTTTTAGTTTTTGTAACCTAAGCCAACGCGTGAAATAGAAATAGAAATAATCTTTATACAAATAAACTCATTACAAGCACTTTTGAATAGTCATATTTTGATTCTACCACTCATTAGGAGTGCAGATTCATCACAAGAACGATCGAAAAACTTGCGTGGTGCTCTTTTAAATAAATGTTTAACATTACATATATACAATTTTATTAAATTCTATATGGCTTTAGTTTTTTGTAACCAGTTCCAACGTGTGATGTCGCAAGTGATTACATTTCTCTTAATTTTTCTTTCGCGCATAATTTCATTACATTTTACTTTTAAAATTCTCATAACAAGAAGAACGTACAGAAACTTGCGTGGTGCTCTTTTAAATAAATGTTTAGTATTACATATTCACAATTTTGTTTATTCATTCTTCCTAGTTTTTGGCTTTTGTATCATTAGCTAGCTTTACACGCTAATCTTTTACGTGGAAGAGCCAACGCGTGAAATCGCGAGTAATCTTTCTCTAAAGCATTTTTCTTTATTTATGTTCACTCTTTCACGAAATAGAAATGGAAATAATCTTTATTCAAATAAACTCATTACAAGCACTTTTGAATAGTTATAATTTGATTCTACCACTCATTCGGAATGCAGATTCATCACAAGAAGAAGAGCAAGAAACTTGTGAAAAGAAACTTGCGAAAGATTGTGTATCAGTTTAATTTCTTTTAAAACTCTGTTTTTTACTTTCTAATAACACTTTTAATATTAATATTATAAATTATCAATAACTCTATAATTATATCATCATCATCATCATCATCGCAGCCCGGAAGACGTCCACTGCTGGACATAGGCCTCCCCTGAAGATCTCCACGACGATCGGTCCTGCGCTGCTCGCATATGATTATATCATTGCTTCATAATCAAATATACGCCATTTTGCAATGATAATGAATTCTTAACAAAAAGGGGCGTGTTTTATCACGTATGATTGCCCCCTGTCGCCCCTCCGATCGTTCAACTTCCAATTCATACGGGGATAAAAATTAGGACGGTCTGAGACGAGGTTCGAACTCCTAGCGGTGCCCTCAGACTAAAGCCGAATCCGTCAGGCGGGAGTTAGCCCTCAGCCGCTGCATAAGTCCTTCCTTGGTTTGGAGTGCCATCTGCACTCGCCCCCTATCGTCCGGTGAAGCTGTAAAGGCCAGTTGCGGCCAACAGCATTAGAATAGTCCTAAAGAAAAAGATTTAAGGCCACAGGTATGCGGTCACTGGCGACGCGCGCGGTCTGTCTCGTTCTTTATGTCTACATTTACATGAATAGAATAGAATAGAATAGAAAATAATTTATTCAAATAAACTTACATTGAAGCACTTTTGAATAGTCATTACATTTTTTTTTAATCTACCGCTCATTCGGAAAGCTGTCTCATCACAAGAAGAACGAGCAAGAAACTTGCGTGTTGCTCTTTTAAATAATTTTATTATTACTTTACATTTTTAAGTTTAAGTGTGTGAATACAAACCACCAATTAGCACTAATTCAATTAAATACTCAAAAAGAAAAAAAATTGAATACATAACCAACTGGTTAAACAATTAATACGAGGAAATCAGTCATAGTGATTAGAGCAGACCAGTCCCTACAAGCAGCACCCGTTCACGAGTATGACGGATGAGCCAGCCATCACTGCGCTCGACCATATTTTAGGGAGCCCAATGACCCGGCCCACCACGCCGCCACAAGTCTGGACATTTTAGTGAGCATGACTACTCAAAACACTAAACCACGTCAAAGCTACTCACAATTGCCATCTGATAGTTATAGTATTCACATTTTACATAAGAATGCATGCGGCAATTAATACAAAAACCGCTACGCTTTCATATTTCTAAAATCAATCAATTAAATCAAGAAAGCAATGAGAAAATAAAATTATAACGTTGTATGCTAATAAACTAATTATTTACTTGATATGTTGTCTATGAATTCGTCTATCCTGTAATAGACTTTCTTACATAAAAATTGTTTAATATAAGATTTGAATTGCCTCTCTGTCAGATTTAATGCAGATTCTGGCAGTTTATTATAAAATCTTATGCAATTACCATAGAATGAATTACTGATTTTGTGCAGACGGCATTTAGGTAAAATAAGCTTATTTATATTGCGTGCATGCACATTCTTTCCTGTATGAAAGCCTATTTACGCATGAAAGGCGTGTAAAGGCATTTACTATTAACCCCATTCATGGAGATCCGAATGAGCGGTAGATTAAAAAAAAAAATGTTATGACTATTCAAAAGTACTTCAATGTAAGTTTATTTGAATAAATGATTTTCTATTCTATTCTATTCTATTACGATGGTCACATCGCTGATAATAATAATAATAATCTCAGGACAATTCACACAACGCCATCTAGACCCAAGTTAAGCCAGCTAAAGCTTATGTTATGGGTACTAGATAACTGATACATATACATATATTTTTTAAATACATACATATATTATACATAGAAAACACTCAGACCGATATAAACAATCATACTTATGAATACAAATGTTTGTGCCGTGCGAGGAATCGAACCCGCGACCATCGGTCGTAAAGCGGTGTACTAGACCGCTAGACCACCGAGGTCGTCAAAGGCTAGATATTAATTAAGTTATAACTACATGTTTTCTTCCTATATTAGAAAAGAAACATAATAAGTACTTAATTATTATAACGGCCTCGGTGGTATAGTGGATTAGCACCGTTTTACTTCCGACGGTCGCGGGTTCGATTCCTCGCACGGTGCATAAATTTGTATTCATGAGTAAGGTTGTTTGTATCTTTCTGGGTATATTATGTATATATTTACAAACAAATATGTAAGTATTTAGATCGGTAGTTTTTTTGGAATACTCTAATACTGTTGGCAGCAGCTGTTCTGTACAGCTTCACCGGAGAATAGGGGCGAGTGCAGATGGTACTCCAAACCAAAGGAAGGACTTATGGGAGCGGCTAAAGGCCAACTCCCGCTTGACGGATATGACTTTAGTCTGAGAGCACCGCTAGGGGTTCGAACCTCGACTCAGGCCATCGCAATTTCCATCGTTTGAATTGGACGGGGGATCGATCGGAGAAGTTGTCTAGTACCCATAACACATACTCCGCTTACCGAGGGACAAGATGGCGCTTTGTTAATTATCCAGGGTTAATTACCAGCGCTTTGTTAATTATTATTAAAGTTATTTATATAATTACAATATTTTCACTGCAAATTAGTGTATCAATAAAAACTATATATAAATGTAATATTATACATATATAAATACATGTGATTATTTTAATAGATATCTTACGCATTGTATACGAATATATTATTCTAATTTATACAGTATAATTAGAATATAATTATATATGATTACATGTGTGTAGAGTATGTTTTGATACCGGAAAATGTAGTAGTAGTTACTTTCAAGCTAAAAATTACAATCTATACCGGAAGTGTATCTTCCGGTATAGATTGTAATTTTTATTATACTTCGGTGATGAAAATATCGTTAACAAACCAAGTTAATCCAAGAGGCGAACTTGAAGACGACCTCGGTGGTCTAGCGGTCTAGTACACCGCTTTACGACCGATGGTCACGGGTTCGATTCCTCGTACGGCACAAACATTTGTATTCATGAGTATGATTGTTTGTATCGGTCTGGGTGTTTTCTATGTATAATATGTATGTATTTACGAAAAATAATATATATCTTACATAGATAAAAAATCTATGTATATGTATCAGTTGTCTAGTACCCATAACACAAGCTTTAGATAGCTTAACTTGGGTCTAGATGGCGCTGTGTGAATTGTCCTGAGATTATTATTATTATTATTATTAAAACTTGGTGATGAGGTTGAAAATCATTACATAGTATAAAATAAAGTCGGTATCGCTGTCTATCCGTCTCTATGTATGCTTAAATCTTTAAGACTACGCAACGGATTCTGAAGCGGTTTTTTTAATAGTAGAGTGATTCAAGAGGATGGTTTATATATATCCGCCAACAATCTTTCTCTGCACCACTCATGGTTGCCTGGTAGATAACGCCGCAAGGTGTTAAGTCCGCAATATGTACACATTGTTATTGTGCATTAAAGTTAAATAAATAAAAATAAACATATATGAAATACATGTACAGCCGGGGCGAGTAGCTAGTATTAAATAATTAATATATATTATAATTACAATAAAATAAATAATAAATTAATGTAATTTGTAAGAGGCCTAAAACACTGATTTTACATAGTTTAGTTTAGTTTATAGTTACCAGGGAACCAATTTTCACATGCTATATAGCATGTGAAAATTGAATGAAATAAAATTAATAATATTACAAAAAAATAAATAAAATAAAATTGAAAGTGTCTATTTCTAAACTCAAATTGATAGATCAATAAGATAGTACATACGGTCCTTATATCAGAATATTAATTTTATAATATTACGTCTGTTTGTTATTGCTAATCTTTGAAACGGCTGTACCGATTTTAGCGGGACTCTCACTCGCAGAAAGCTAATGTTAAGTATATGTAGTGGCTACTTTCATATTAGAAATATAATTATTTCTATATAAAGAAACGCTGTTAATTGGTAGTAAAATAATAAAAACTCTGAATTTCAATTCGTATGGGGTATATTTGGAGCACTAATATTTGTAAACAGCAAAGTATATGTTTTTTTGTAAAGAAATGATAGTCTCTCGCAATAGTTGCACCCGTGGAATGCCAGGTGAGTCGCTAGTTTTGTATATATTAGTATCTATATATAAATATATTAGTATATATCACAAATATCTTACAACTTACCCGATTTAGAAGGTATTTCATTTAAAACGTCCGCCATTTTAAACTTAATAACACACTATTCACTTAACACAATCACACACACTTATAATTCAAAATAATTTTTCAAGTACAATGTCAATTTATATTTTGTTAACATTTAAAACTGGTACTTGAAATATAATGTTCAATAATTAATTTAATTATGGTTTATTTAATTAATGTTCAATTTAATAATAATCGTAACACGCACACACAATTGTAATTCGAATTTATTTTTAAATTAAATATTAATTTCTATTTACTTGTATTTAACATTTAAAATTGGTACTTGAAATATAATTTACAATTATTAATTAAATCGTTTTTTATTTTGTTCAATTTTGAAAGTAGTTCACTTTAATGTTAATTATATATATATATAATTGTATTTATAATAAAAATGTTTTATTTCCACCAAGGTGAGTGGCGAGGAAGTGGCGGCGCGTGCGCTCGCCATAATAATAAGATACCGTTGTTTGTAAACTGTTTTATATAAGCGGTACTACATTTAAACTTGACTGTCGACATTGTGGATACAATTTCGTATAATTTGCGGATAAAATTAAAAAAAAAGTTTATTAAAAATTATCAAGTTGAGGATTCAGGATTAGTCTACATTTCCACTTGACTGTCGACATTGTAGACACAATTTCAGAGATATCGCAGATATAATAAAAAAAAAAGTTGATTACAAGTCGCCAAATTGAGGATTCAAAATTGTCTGATTGGTATCTGTGTCTTTGAAATTTAGCGAGCACTACTGCGATTTGTGATATATAGAAATAGGTATAAACTTTAAAGTTTATTGTAAAATGGAAGAGATTGTAAATGTTAATAATGTTTTTGTAAAAATAACTTAAAATACGTATCGCTGCCATTTAAATTCAAATTCAAATTCAAAAATCATTTATTCATGTAGGACATTTTAGCCGCTTATGAACGTCAAATTTTTACATTATAATTTTATTTTTTTCCCTACCGTCCATTATCATCTGATTGCACAAGAAATGAGTGCAGAGAACAAGAAAGAGTGAGAGAAGAACGGTTTTTCTGTTAATTATCGCAGGCATCCTACTTGTTACTGTGTGTTTTTTAAATAACAGTTTTTCAAAGTTGCAACTCGCAAGTTTCTTTTCTATTCTTCTTGTAATGAATCTGCATTCCGAATGAACGGTTGAACCATAACAATATGACTATATAAAAGTGCTTATATTTAGTTTAATAGATCAATCAAATAAACATAGTATAACCATTTTTAAATAGTTACATTTTTTTTATTTTACCGCTCATTCGGAACGCAGACTCATCACAAGAAGAATGAACATGAAACTTGGGTGATACTATAAAAATTTAATTCTGAACAATATTTATTTTCAAGTTATTTAGTATTACTCGGATGGGTAGCGTTCGGGAAGCTCCGATATATGTTTTCGTCCAAATTTCCGCAGTGTCTCAAGACGAAGGTTTACGACCAATGTGTGTTGCCAGTGATGACTTTCGGAACTGAGACGTGGTCGCTAAGTATGGGCCCCATCAATAAGCTCAGAGTCACTCAGAGGGCAATGGAGAGTTACTCTGCGTGATCGAATCAGAAATGAGGAGATCCGCAGAAGAACCAGAGTGACCGACATAGCCCGAAGAATTGCGACTCTGAAGTGGCAATGGGCAGGGCACATAGCTCGTAGGACAGATGGCCGTTGGGGCAGTAAAGTCCTCGAGTGGCGACCACGGGCCGGAAGACGCAGCGTGGGAAGGCCTCCAGCAAGGTGGACCGACGATCTGGTCAAGATCGCTGGAAGGCATTGGATGCGAGCAGTGCAGGACCGATCGTCGTGGAGATTTTTGGGGGAGGCCTATGTCCAGCAGTGGACGTCTTCCGGGCTGCGATGATGATGATGATGATGATTTATTTTCAAGAACAAGTTTCTTGATTATTCTTCTTGAGCTGCGTGTTTCTTTGTCTTAGAGGTATATATATATATATATATATCCTATTAAATGAATCGTTGGCTTATTTATCATTACAGATATAATAAAAATATATATAATAATAAAAAATTATAGATAAGTATAGATTAGTAAAACCAGTATCTATATACAATAACAGTGTTATAATCTAAAGGATTTTCTCGATAATAACACCGGACTCGTATAAGTATCGACTAGAGAGATTCTATTGTTCTAATTTCTTATGATTATTTGTATACAATTAAACAAAATAATAAATTGCCATTACTATGGCAAAACTTATGATCTTATCCTTTAATTGTAAACTTTTTTATTAAAATAATATTATTATTAATATTAATAATTATTATTATAATATAACTTTTATTAGGTGCGATTAATAAAAAGAAATTGAACTATTCTAAAAAGGTTTACTTGTGAATTGTATTTTTTTTTAATTAAATTCACTTATTTTATTTTTTATATTATATTCTTTGTCCGGGATTTATTGTGTAGATTATGGTCACTATATTACAATTGCAGTTATCAGTTTTGTTTTAATATTAATTTATAATACTTTTTGTTAATGGATTGAATGATTTGGAAGAAAATGCATTGACGATAATACCTTCTTTTGTACTTGGTTTTATTTTTAATGTCATATTTTTTTCATCTCCCATCAATGTTGGTGCAGTATGGTGTTACAAGTAAATTAATAATAATAATAATAATAATAAAGCCTTTTATTTCCATAACCATCCAGAAGTTTGTACAAATAGTAAAAAAAATATAAAAAATAAATTGTTAGTAATTTTTTTTTTTTTTTACAAGTAAACTAAATACAAATGACAAATAATAAATAGCATATTGCCTACTTTCGTTTTTAATGTTCATTCAAATTCAAATACAAATTCAAAAATTATTTATTCATGTAGAACATTTTAGCCGCTTATGAACGTCAAGTTTTAACATTATAATTTTATTTTTTTTCCCTACTGTCCAGTTTGTTTATCCGTTTAATGTGTGTGCAACAAAGTTGTAAATAAGTTAAACGTTTTTTCTTCGGACTACTCTAATGCTGTTGGCCGCAGCTGACCTTTACAGCTTCACCGGACGATAGGGGCGAGTGCAGATGGCACTCCAAACCCGCGGAAGGACTTATGGAGCGGCTGAAGGCCAACTCCTGTCTAACTAATAAGACTTTAGTCTGAGGGCACCGCTAGAGATTCGAACCTCGATACAGACGATCGTAATTTTGATACCCATTTGTTTTTTTTCAGGCTACTCCAATCCTTTACTATTTTATTCCTGACGGATACGAGTTTAATCTGAGGGCACCGCCAGGGGTTCGGACCTCGGCTCAGGCCGTCGTAACATCGGTCCCCGTTTGAATTGGAGTGGGGATCGATCATTAAACGTAAATGACAAATAATAAATTGCAAATCATATTTTAAACTCACGTATTGGTACTCTTTTTGTTAGATTAATAATACTTATTAGAAACACTTCAAGATTTACGAACATAAATAAAAATCCTGTAAATTAACTGTATTGAATACTAGCTTTTGCACACGGCATCGCTCGCGATAATTTATCCCCTTAGGGGTGAAATTTATCAAAATCCTTTTTTAGAGGATGCCTACGTCATAGTAGCTTTATGCATGCAAAGTCTCAGTCCGATCGGTTTAAAATTGACAAAGTTTCACATAAACTTTCATCCTCTATTTTATCCCCTTGGGGGTAGAATTAATCAGAATCCTTTCTTAGCGGATACCTATGTTATAACATCTACCTGCATGCCAAATTTCAGTCCGATCCGTCCAGTGGTTTGGGCTGTGCGTTGATAGATCACGATGTCATTCAGTCAGTCATCTTTGAGTTATATATATTTAGTTATAATAAGATATCAGTACTAAGTACTAAAATATCTTGTTTCCATACACTGTTATTCCACGTACCATACAATAAATAACTTCTTTTAGGATTATTTATCAGCAGATACATAGAGATAAACTAGTATATGTATGAAGTAGTGGTGCCATAATAAATTTAACATTCAATAAGACTATAGACAATTTTTTTATGGATGGTAATGGTATGGACTATTCACCTGCACGGACGGTTTACGCTGGCGGGGCATTAGTGGTGGATGGTAAGATTAACATGAGGTCAAGTTAGCCCATAGTGGCAAATTTACCAGGAATTTGCCACGATGGTTTCCAGGGGGAACCGCGTAGAGTTCAAGCTGACATGGTACAGTGTTACTTATGGATTAATTATGGTATACGCTGGCGGGGCACCAGTGGAGGATGATAAGTGAACATGAGGTCAAGTTCAGTTCAGGCAAATTCACCAGGAATTTGCCACGATGGTTTCCAGGGGCAACCGCGTGGAGGTCAACCTGCCATGGTACATTGCTTGGATAATAATAGTAGATAGTGATGGATTAATTACACCACATTAACAACAGTGCCGTTCCTCCGATAAATAATATTAAAGACAAGCAATATTAATCTATTCCCAATTTGACCATAGATTTTAACAATAAACAAAAGATTATAGATGTAATTTATCGTCACAGTAACATCGCTATTGTATATATAGATATTATTATTTTATTTATTTATTAGCTGTACACGCGACTATGTTCGCGTGGGATTTAACTTTATTTTTCTATAATAAAAGTAGCCTAAGTTACTCCTTATTACATCAGCTACCTGCCAAAAAAATTTCCGTCAAAATCGGTCCAGCCATTTCATAGATTAGTCGGAACAAACAGACACACAGACAGACAAAAATTATAAAAATGTTATTTTGATGTATGTCCCGTATTTATATTCATATGCATGTAGTAAAAAACAGTTATTTCAATATTACAAACAGACACTCCAATTTTATTTATAGATTAAAAAATCTCTCTGCCCTCTTTCTCTATATAAACTATATGTGTGCAAAATTACATACCATATAAAAATGGGCACAAAGTTTTAACTTCACGTGTTAATTATAAATTTTTTAACAAGCAATTAATGAATAAAATTTAAGAAAGAAAGAAAGAAAAATATTTTATTCAGTGCAATGTAAAAAATACAATATAAACAACAAACGAAA